CGCGATCTTGCTACGGTACGAAAAGTGCAAAATCGCATAATCGCACCGGCCCGCCTGGTGCGTTCCAGCCTGGGTTTTAATCTTCCCCCACCCCTTCCTCTCTAGAGCCCCACGAACCCTTATACTCTGAGAAAAATGTATCTACTGGGTTAACATAAGCAAAGTGCGCAGGGACTTCAACCGCTGCCTGTGGAATATGAGGGCCGGTAGTGTCGTGGCTAATATACCAAGATTTGAAGGATCCGAAGATAATTAAAAAGAGAAGCTTGACTTACTTCCGGCTTATATTTATATGTAATAAAGGACTATTTTTACATCACTGTTTTCTGCCCAGTGCTAAAACTACACCCACTGCATATTGCAGATAACAGTCCAAGCAGTTATTTTTCGTACTTGTACCTCACAGTCAAATAAAACCACTAATTTTTAGAACTTCGAAAGAAACGTTACCTCCTCGACCAGAATTGGAATGTCTCGTTCCGCCGGTGTAATTGCCATTGTTGGTGACATTTTTTCTTTCTCCAGGCGTTTTCGAAGCTGAAAAAGCACAAAATCATCATACAGCAAGACAATTTTTTAAATGTTTGCAAGGATACATGCAATATAGAACTTATGTGAGCAAAATTTCGATATTCCTTTCCAACCAGTATTTTTGTTTTCCCAGTTCCACTTTCAGCTCAACACCCTATGATATAATACATAGTGACGCGTCATGCCTCACCGGTAAGCTATTGTTTTACGGTCCAAAAGAAGTAACGTTCCCAACAAGATCGTGATGCCTAACACGCATACACAGACACTCATTAAAGGCATCTCAAAACAGCTAAAACCTTGTCAAATGCCTCTGCTGGGAGGGCCTCTGAGTGAATAAACCCAACAGAAGGTGAAACGAACATAAAAAAAAAAAGGAAAAAAGCAGAAGACTGCTCAACAGGTGAATTGCAGCATTGGTCAAAGCAAATGGAAGTTACCGCTGCTCCAAGTATTCAGTCATCTTACGTGCTAACGAAAGTGGATAACGAGTAAAACAGGTACCGCTGTTATGTCATCCCGTAGCTCCTGATTTATCTGATGCGCATTTCTGAGTTCCTGTTGCAGAGTACCAAATTGTTCGAGTTTTGCTTCCGCAAATGTTAACCTCATTTCTGCATCTTCACACCTAAAAAACCCAGGCTGGAACGCACCAGGCGGGCCGGTGCGATTATGCGTTTTTGCACTTTTCGTAC